GTTGGTTTCCTCTCCCAAGGGACAAGTGATGGGACAAGAGGAAGTGGCCTCGAGTTGCACCAGGGGAGGTTTAGGTTGGTTATTAGGGAAATTCTTTCCCAGAACCGGCTGTCAGGATTGGAAGGGGCTGCCCAGGGAGGGGGGAGTCCCCACCCCGGGAGGGGTTTCAGAGCCGTGTGGCCGAGGTGCTCAGGGCCATGGGTCAGTGGTGGGATGAGCAGTGTGGGGTTAACAGTTGGACTTGATGATCTCAAAGGTCTTTTTCAACCTACAAGATTCTATGATTCTATGATTCTGTGATGCTCTTTGCCTGTGGCTTGATGGGTCGATTCCACTTGGGATGTCCCTAGGATGTCTCCCTGTTCCTCTAGACACATGATTTGACTGCTTGGACTCAGACCTGTCACACCCTGCTCCCTACCCATTACACACCCCACACTGGGTTGCCTTGGTTATATCTAGTTCCAACTTGGGGGTTGGAACTAGATGACCTTTAAAGTCCCTTTCAACCCAAACTACTCTGTGATTCTATGGAAATGTTTAAAATAAAGTTAGTGCTGGTTATAAAGCCAGCTTTGCCTCAAGCAGCAGGGGCGTAGTATCATTGTGTGTTCCTTTCTCATTTCCTACCTCCTCCCACATCTCTCCTAAAGCTCTGCTTTCTGTCTCTGAATTACTTTTTCAAACCTGTGCCTGCTAATACATTGTGGTTAGCCTTGGGTAGTGCTGAGTGACTCCGAAAGGGGAAGGATTAGACAGGAGGGAGCGAATGTTAAGTGCCCCATAGGATTTCCGCGCTGTGGTTAAGGCTTAGCAGTATCTGATGATGCTCTGCTATGAGATGTTAAGACTCGAGCTCCTATCTCCCTTGAACACTCCGCACTCTTAATTCCACAGTTGCTTAGCATTTTTCTTACTTTTATTTTTTAACTGTATTTGTTAAAAACCCTTTCGATTGCAGCAACTTGGTGTGCTGCTGAGCATAATATTGCTGTGTCAGCATGTTGCTTGGGGTTTGGCACAGTGCTTACTAAAAATAGCAACTAAAGATGACAGTGACCTTTGTGATAAGGGGCTTCAGGTAACGGTAAAGCTGGGACAGTGTTTACTCCATCGTCTAAAGTTGGATTTTGTTTTCCCCTCTGGCTCTGGGAGTGAGTGCTCTGGGTTGTCCCCTAATTCAAATGGGATTTGTATTTTAACCCCATCTTCTTTCCAGACCTTATCTGACTTTTCTTATTTTGAAGATGGGCTCCTTGGTTTGGAAAATATCAGCCTAATCAGGCTGGCTGCGCTGGGTTTATCTTGATTTCTGAGTGAGACTAACTGTTCCCCTGCCCTTGATAGAAACTCTGTGTGGTGTTACTACTGATCCAGCCACAGAAAACTGGGATGGAAGAAAGTTTAAAGAGCTTTTTAGGTTTCCCAGAACCCTTGTTCTGTAATATCTAGGTGGCTTAATGACCACAGGGCATACATTTGGCTACTTAATTTCTTCTGGGAGGCAAGTTTTCTTTAAGATGCATGAACTTAACTCATATGAGCATGGCTGTTTCCTGAAACCAATTTTGAATTGGAAAAAGATAATTTCAGAGCAATTTTTGGTAGCTTGGAGACCTTGCATTTTGCTGAAAGCCCCCGAACATTAAGTTCGCATATGGTCTGAGAGCCTGTGAAAATCTTGCTCATCATCTACTATTAACAATTTGAGGTAGTCTGTGTGTGTCTCTGTGAATACAGGGTATGGAAAACCTCTGACATTATTGGGAGCTACGGACACTGCAGAAAGCTTTGGTTAGTGTGAGCATTCAGGGTGGGTGTTCCTGTCCAAGCTACCAGAGTTTGGCACTCTGGACATTTTTGGGGAGGAAGGAAGGGATGTGTAGGGATATGTCAGCATTTGATTGAATGACTGCAAACATCTAGCAGGTATCTGAGAGACTTTCTGCTGGGTCCATCTTATTTCAACTGGGTTTGGGGATGCTGGGGATGAGATCTTCACAGTGATTTTGATGTGAAACCATGAGAGAAGCTTGAGAGGGAACAGCTATTTTTCTAGTACTATCTATGTGGTTGAGCACCTCCACCTCTAATGAGGCCTCTGACTGTCTTTGCAGCTATGATGGGGTGCCATTTCTGATGCATGACAAGACACTCAGGAGAACAACAAACGTGGAGGAAGTGTTTCCAGAGCGGGCCTACGAGCACTCCTCCATGTTCAACTGGACTGACCTGGAAAAGCTGAATGCTGGAGAGTGGTTCCTACAGGTACATAGGGCCATGGGGAGGGTGTCCTGAAGTCATGGCTGTGGGATGAAGTGTCATGCCTCAACCCTCTTTGAGTCAGAGAGGTATAGATCCATCTCCTCGCTGGAGTGGGCTGAAGTGCAGCTAGACCAAGAATCCATGATCCACATTTAGTTCTGTTCTCAACTAAACTTAGACCTGGTCTAAAATGCACATTGTCTTTCTGTGCCTATTCCACCACCTGGCAGAAGAGGTCTTAATGTCTCGTTGACACTATGGAGAACTTCAAGATCCCCAGAAGGGCAAATGTGGTTATAAAGAGAACAGAAAAGACAGTGTGTTATATGCTGTTCATTTTTCTTTAATTTACTTTTGGAGACAATTCTTGAAGACAAGTCTTGACTAAGAAAAAGCGAGAAATTCAGCCTTCCAAGTCCAGGGGGGTTAGAATTGCTGTGAGATGGGCTTGACCCATCCTTCAGCATGCAGCCAGGTTGCAGGTGGGATTTCTTTTTGCTGAGCTGCGCTCTGGCCTGTGGCTGTAACCTTCTTGGAGAGCAATAGCTGTGGTCTGGAAGGAGGGTTGCAGCACACTGGCACATTCATGCAAGCTTGAACATGGCTTGCTGAGACATTGCTGCAGTGATGCAAGCTCAGATACCACTTTCATGTGTCTCCTTGAAGCCCTCTGGGTGCTCGTTTGGTGGAAGCCTGAAACCACTGTAGCTTCATTGCTGTTCTGATCTGGGCTGGTAGGATGGGGATATATATTACAGTTGCACATGCTGATGCACAGCATATTGGTTGGTTTGCAGATGTAGGAGTGGGAATGCAGGGAAACTGCTGCTTGCCAGATGGGAAGGGCCAAGGCAGCAGCTGGAAGGCTGCTTTTTTGGCTGTACTTGGAAGCAGTCATTCCTGAATATCCTCAAGTCAGGAGCTTGTCTCCTCCTACAGCCCACAGCTCCTCTCTGATCATCCTTAGTTATATAAAGCTGGTCCTCTTTATTTTTGCATTCTGAAGTATCCTTGATGATCATGTGCATAGTGTGAGAAAGTACATTTTTAGCTTACTACCTTGGAAAATTACATCACTGCCCTATCGCTCTGTTCTCCTCCTGGAAATGAGGTGACCTGCCTAGCACACCTTGCTTTCAGTAAGGATCTGTGACCTCTCCTTGAGTAGGGAAACTGAGGCATGGGGTTTCAGCAAGCTGCAAGATGGTCATCAAGTGTAGATGTCAACATCCCCCACTGTTGCCAGGGTGGGATAGAAAAGGGCCTTCACCTGTATTGGAGGAGTCTGGGCTTTGTGGCACTAACACCAGGATGTGCTTTGCTTTCAGAATGACCCTTTCTGGACGGCCGGGTCTCTCTCAAGGTCTGACTACTTAGAAGCTGCCAACCAGTCAGTCTGCAAGCTGGCAGATATGCTAGAGGTGATCAAGGACAACACATCACTCATCCTGAACTTCCAGAACCTGCCACCAGCACATCCCTACCACAGCACTTACATCAACATCACCCTTGAAACCATCCTAGCATCCGGAATTCGTCAACAGGCTGTGAGTTCTGTGGGGTTGCTGATGTTTCCAAAATTGCCCTCTTTATGGGTTCCCCAAATCCTTGAGTGTCTCATTTGCTCCATTTGAACTCTTGATTTGAAATGCCACTTTATGCCAAGAAGTCATGCTGGGGAGGACGGTGCCTCCAGGCTGGTGATCTCAGAGTCCTGATAACATCTTGGACAGTACTCATGGTAGTATAGCTAATAGATGGAGAAAAGTGATTATTCCCCTTACTCAGCAATTGTTTTCAGCATGGAGCTTGCCAGTACAAGCAGATAGATGTTGATAAACTGAGGCAAGACCTTTAGAGGCCACCAAAACTGGTCAAGGGACTGAGGGAACTAAGTCTCTTCATCTTGGAAAAGAAAGGACTTGGGAGATATCTAATAGAAGCTCTCCAATACTGGAAAGGAGGTTGTTGAGAAGTTAGACCTAAGCTTTTCACTGGGCTGCGTGTCAGGAGGATGAGAGAGAACTGACATAAATTGGAACAGGATAGGGTTTTGCTGGATATGAGGAAACTAGTTCTCAGTGTGAGGGCAGGTAAGAGTAGAGAGGGACCAGGAGAGATTGAGGGATCTCCATCCCCAGACCTTTTCAAGACGCAACTGGACAAAGCTCTGAGCACCTTGTTTGAAATCAGTGCTGGCCCTGGTTTGTGTTGGAGTAGAGGTTTCCTGAGGTCCCTTCCCACCAAGTGATTCGATAAGAGTCTTGGACATGATAAAAGAGGCTGAGACTGGTGACCAGTTGTAAGGAGCAGAGAGCCCTTCCTCCTCCTCCAACTCCTTGGTTTTAAATAATCCTCCCTGGACTGAGGAACTGTTTGAGCCTAGAGTCAGCTTCTGCTTGGAGGAGAAGTGGGTGTCTGGAGAAAAGGGGTTTTCAGCCAAAGGAGGTCAATGTACCTACAGGTCAATGTATATGCAGATATCTCACCAAGACTTTTCATTTCTGTCCCAGAATTGTCCTTGCTGGGTTATGCCAAGCATTTTCATTTCCAGCTCTGTGCTGTTGTTATTGGAGCCCAGCCAGCTTTGTTAGCTGTGTCCTCTGACCACACAGAATTTCATGTAGCCTATCAGGAGTTCCCTCTGACGAAATCCTCTCTTCTGAAGGAAGACCACCGCTTCCCATGTGTCAGAAGGGCATCCAGACCTGGGTACTCTGGGTGTCCCCTGGAAGACTTCTCTTTGTGGCCTGTCTTGAGAAGGAAATCTGGTCCTTTCACTTGTCCTGTGCACTTCCTTGAATGTGGACTGGTTGAAAACAGGATAGTGAGGCTGGCAAGTGGAGTGACTACATCACTCGCAACTCAGATATTTCATCTGTACCAATTAGTTGTATCTGCATGCACAGACAAGTTCATCACTGACTTGAACAGTGATGGGCCCAGAAGGAGATTATTTTTAGCTCCAATCTGTCTCTCTAATGACAGACACTGACACCCAATTTCCAATTAACTATGTGGCTGCAGTGATAGTGTTACCCACATGCCTCTGACAGCTTGGATATATCCAGGGGGAAGACTATGCTGCCTTCTCCTTGGATAATGGAATGGAGAGCAGGAGAAAAATAGTTGAAGCATAGAAGTGGGATTGTGAAGTGATATTTCTCTCCCAGGTTTTATGGTTCCCTATCGAAAAAGTATATGTCTGCGTCTGTGCTGCTCTGATGCTTTAGTAGATGAGTGTCACTGAGTTATTAAACAGGGGTGACAGCAATGCAATGCCCAGTGGTCCTGCTGTGATCATCTGGTTGGGCCCAGCCTCTGCATGGCACAAGGCATAAACCTGCCCAGCTTGTTTCCTGTGTCCACTTTACATCTGGCAGCTGAGCGCATTAACAGGGATTAATTTGACACACTTTCAAAGTATATGTTATAAACTTAGGGAAATCCTTGCCCTGGGTTGGAGCAGATTTAGCCCAGGTAAAAGGGTGAATAAAACTCGTCTTTGCAATGGGATCATGAGAGGCTTCTGTTGTGCATCCTGTCTGCACTGTCAGTTTTAGCCTCATGTCCTTAGTTCTCTCTGTGCCCTGAACTGGGCAGGGAGGATGGATTTTCAAGGGTATGCCATGTCTCTTCTCATGAGCCGTTGGCCTGATACCTCTATCTCAACCCTTTTCACCTCTAAGATTTAGTGTGTTACAGTCCTTTGCACTCGAGGATAATCCTGAAATGCATTTGATTAAATGTGGGAAGCTGTCAGTGTCTTTGAGACAATTTGTATGATAAACAAGGCAGTCTCTCACGTGATTTTGCTGCTGGCTTGGTGTAAACTGTGTCTGCAAAGCTGCCTCATGTTACCAGCTCCGTGAAATATCTTTGCCATAGATGTCCTCTGTCTCCCTCACCCCGCAGGTGATGTGGCTGCCGGACACAGAGAGGCAGCTGGTCAGACAGATTGCGCCGGGTTTCCAGCAGACTTCTGGCCTCAAGCTGGATACAGAGCGCATGAGGGAGAAGGGCATCGTGAAGCTCAACCTGCGTTACACCAAGGTCACGAACGAGGATGTCAGGTATGGCCCTCTGTTTGGACACTGTGTGATAGCTCCATGACGGGGGTCTGGGCATCCTTGTGCGCTGCCTGCATCCCTGGCCAGCAGCATCTTTTCTGATCTTGCTGTCTTATCTACACAGAGGTATCTGGAAAAGATACCTCCATCTCAAGTCTGATAAGATGGACTTGCTCTTCAAATCTTGAGCTGTGCAAGTTTGTCCATACCCATCACCCAGGGTCCTAGCTCTTCCCAGGAGCTGACTCTAACTCTTCATGATAATTCAGTAGATGATGATCCATTTTGAAATACAAATGTATGAACTGCCTGATCCTTACTATACTATCAGCTCTTCAAAAAAGTGAAAGTTTTTCACACTGCGTGCTTACAAATTGTCTTTCCTCCTCATTAGCAGCTTCCCTTTGCTTTTGTTCATCTGCTCCAGAGTTGCTACCACAGAATTTGATTAGTCCAAAGTCAGGATATGCTTTCAGAAATTTCTCTTTGCAGAGAATTCATCCAATTCATTATTGTCTTTTGTTGGCTATTTAGACTGGCCAGGTCTCCTTTTTTAATGGGGTTGGCAGGATGGGGTGGTTCGCCTTCTTGAACCTGTATTTGAACTGTGCAGCCTGTTAGTTCCCAGCTTTGCCCTCCTCTCAGAAAAGGCAGATTATCTCTAGTAAAGCTTTTCTATTTTTGTAAAGTATAACTTTTTCCCCAAATAAATATTTGAAAATGAAACAAGTTTGCAGAAGAAAAATATTTTCAAAGGAGCTCTTCTTACTGTATATTTAGGCTGGAAATAGAGAAGAGCTGAGCCTGAAGTGGTTTGAGACCATGGTCCTATTTAGTGTAATCCAGTGGTGTGTCTCTGTGGCTGCCAGCCATCACTCTAGTTATTCTCCCTTAAAACCAAGTCTGTGCTTTACCTGCAGGATAATTCCTGCTCTGTCTCATGGAGAGGACCATATGCCAACTCTCTCATCTATCCCAGCTCATCAGCTCCAATCTCTCTTCAATCCCACCTCAGCTGTCTCCAAAATCAGCCACCTAAGTGTGGTTTGGTTTTTTTTTTTTGAACCCTGAAGGCCTTATGGTGCCCAGTCAAATGTTGCTGCAGACCTGTAGCATGAGCCACAGCAGGCTCAACGAGCCCGTTTCCTCAGCTACCCCAAAAATCACCTTCTGGATATAACGCTGCGGCCACCCCTGCCCTTGAGACTACCTTAGCTTTTGGAGCAGCTCAATCACATTGTGAGGAATGTCCACATCTTGTACCAGTGGCCTTCCACCTCAACGTGCTTTGATACTGAATTGCACAGATCAATCTCTGCGCTGTCCGTGCCAGGGAGATTATCAATGCTTCTGGTCCATAGATAAGGAAACAGAGCAATTTATGCAAATGGTATGGGTACAGGGAGACCATGATCAGTGCTTGGTTTGCTGCTGATAGCTCCTGTACCCCTGTTTTAGCTTCTTGGAAAATGACCTCAGGAGACTGGAAGCTGTAACTTTGCAACTGTCCCCAAAACATGGGCATGGGAATTGTAGGAATTGATGTTGGAAATGCAGTCTGTCAGTTTTTAATTAAGTAAATTGTCTATAAAGTGTTACAGGCATCTGAGCCACATGTTAATTTTACATGTGGTGATTGTTAGAAAAACAAGAAGTGCTCATCATACATAGAGTCACAGAATGGTTTGGGTTGGAAGGGACCTTAAAGATGATCTAGTTCAAAACCCCCTGCCATGGGCAGGGAACACAGGCTGTGGCCTGGGGCAGAGAGCATCCAAGAGCTGAAGAAAGCATTCAAATTCAAACCATTTGATGTCAATGCCCTTGGGTTGCTTATGAAGTGACTGTGCCCTGTTAAAAAAAAAAGTATCAACCCTATTCCATGCAATTCAAACCCAGTAAATCTAGCCGTGATTACAGCAGCGGCTGATGGCAAGAGCTCTCCTCTTGGAGATGAGGGTCTGATGTTTGCTAGGGGACTCAACATCTCGCCCTGTCTGTTTCCTGGCAGGGACTACGCCATGGCGAACCTGAGCGTGAATCTCTACACTGTGAATGAGCCCTGGCTGTACTCCATCCTGTGGTGTGCCGGCGTCCAGTCGGTCACCTCCGACAGCTCCCACATCCTTCGCAAGGTGCCTTTTCCCATCTGGCTAATGGTAAGCACGATGTCTGGGAATCTGCTGTGAAGGAGGGGATGCAGAGGAGGTATAGAGGTGGCTGAATGTCTAGTGGGTTTCTCCAGGAAGGTTTGGTTGGGTTCAATGAGCTTGAGGGTTTTCACTCTCTGTATGCCTAAGCCCTGAGGTGGTAATGGATCAATGCTCCTCTTGCACAATCCCTTTCGTAGATGGCCTTGTCTCTCCCCACACAGGGTTTAGGACACTTGGACATTGTGTTGCATGCCCCTTTTAACCCACATGACTTTTCCATCTTCCTCTGATGGAAAAACACCTTTCCAGACCTGCTGAGCAGCTGGTAGAGTTGCAGGAGAAGCAGGCACGGGGGTGACCCTGCAAACTGGGCTTCTGTGTTTCAGGCAGGCTTCAAAACTTCTTTTCCTATTTTTAAAACCAAATAAGAAGAGGTGTTATCTCTGGCTACCCTACTGCCAGACAAGGAACAACGAGAGACCAAATCCCCCTTACACATCATGTTTGCCAGTAAACTTTCTGAAAACTCCGCCAGCACTTTGCGTTTCTGAGACCAACAGAAATATTAATGTTGGAGTGGAGGGAAAATGATGAAAGAGTTGCATCAAAGTATTCCCAAAACAAGAGCACAGCTGCAGAGGTGTAAGTGCGTGTGCTGGAGGGGCTGTTTTCTGATGACAGATCCTCCCAAAGGTAGGTCAGGAGGCAGCTCTTTTACCTGCTGTTCTGGCAGATCTGCTTGGGAGAGGGGAGAATAAGTTGAGCACGAGGAGAATTTAATGTTAATGAGCTATCTGCATGTTCAGCTGGTGGCAGGACCTCAAGACTACTGCCTGGATGGATGAACATCTGTGTACAATGTCCTTAGCCTTAGCTTAACCTACTGATTCGTCTGACTACACAAACCCACACTGGTACGTGCTGAAGCTGGAGAATTGAAAATGATTTTATAAAGGCTGAATCTGTTGGCAGAAGAAATTATCATCATCTGAATGGTGCTGCTGGCAACATCTGTCCTTCACTACAGCTGGCGGAAGCGTGCACATCACTGGCAGCTTTTTACTCCTAAAGTCCCTTTGCCAGCGATGAAAAGCAGCCAGTATTCAGAGCCCTCCTCCAAGGGCTCTCCCATCTGTTACATTTCCAACCCTTCTGCGAGTGCGCTCTTCTATCACCAGCAGCATAAAAATCTCTATTTCCTGCATATTGAAGTGCCTGGGTGATGTAACCAAACCAGCTTTGCCATCTGAGCCCCCCTCTACCATGTGGGATGTATCTCGGGAGCTGGAACAAAACGGTAGTTTTTGCCAGGCTTTGGCTGCCCAGTGCCCTCAGGAGCTTCGTTGGGCTTTATTGCCAGCTGAACAGTGCAAATCTGTTCTGCTCCATTCGCCCAGGGAACGTTTGCAATTGCAAAAATACATTTAACTTGTGTTTCAGTTAAACAAAAAAGAAAAATGAAGGAAAAACGTCAGTCTCCCTCCCACTCTAGTCTTGGTAGAAAGCTGCTGGTAAAAGAGGCCGTCAGACATGGCACGGAGGAAGGGCTTTGCAAATCTTGAGCTGGGGTTCAGCCCCTGACTTGATGTCCTTAAAGTGGGTTCCCAGAATGAAGCACCCTGTCTGCAGTTTTGAGAGTTTCCATCAGAGCCAGGGTTTGAGTTGCTCTCTGCCCAGATACACTGAATTGATCACAGAATCACTAAGGTTGGAAAAGACCTATAAGGTCATCCAGTCCAACCATCAACCCAACACTACCGTACCCACTAGACCATGTCCTGAAGCACCACATCTACACATTCCTTGAATACCTGCAGGGATGGTGACTCCACCACTTCCCTGGGCAGCCTGTTCCAGTGCCTGACCAGGGTTTGATGGACTGCAAAAATGAGGATTTTGGAAGGAAGACTTATTTTGGGTAAAATTTATAAACAACACTGTTATGTAAACAGTGCTTAAACAATCCTCTTTAAAATAGGGGAACTGCAGGTAAAATACAGCGACTTCCTGAGCAGGTCTTGGTGTCGATGGAGCAGAAATAGTTGTCACTGCAATAGATGTCTGTTGACCCATGCTCCCTCCTCTGTGGGGCTGAGTGGCACCTGTATACTGGACACTCCTAATAATGATGCGTGTAAGATGCATGTCTTAAACATTCAGTTTTCCCCTTTTGATCATCTTGAAATTCCATTTTTGTCACTTATAAAACCTTGATTTGGTTCCCATGGCTTCGAACTTTCTGCAGGACTTTATGTATGCTGGAGTTTTCCCAGAAAACTGTGTTTATGTGTACCTATTGCTTGGGATATATCATAAGAAATGCAACTTTTGCCCCACAGGAAAACCTGAGATTTTGCGTCTTCACTGGTGGAATACCAACACTTGCATAAATGGAAAAATTTATATGTGTAGATTTTCTTCTAAATTAGAAGACTCTTGACTTTTCAAAATACTTAATTTTATGATGACACTCTTCTGCCAAGAAAATGGGAAACGTCAATTTTGTCTGTTGGTCTTAATAGATGCAGAAAATGTAACATTAAATGTCACCTTTCTGTAATTAGGCTGGAAAATACAAGGATCTAATCTCCATCAGAAACACTGGCTAATTAAAGCATTGCCCTGCAAACTCTGTGATGCGCTTTCACGGGATGAATTGAGACGCACAAAGAGTTACTGAACAGAAAAACAGGTTGTTCTCTGCTGGGAGACAGAGGCAGTAGAGTTGATGCCTCCCAACTGGTTTTATCCACGTCACACTACCACTGTGTGAATTCATCTTTATGCATGATGTCTTCTATTTCTCTAATGAAATATTACTCCTGGGCATTAGTGGTGGTGGTTGTGATGGGTCTGTCTGGTATGAAACCAACAACCTTTTCCTGGTTGGGAATAGTTCAGGTTTGGGGTAGGAGAAACTCGTTAGCAGCACTGGTGCCTGTCCTGGGTAGGTGCCTTCTGACCATCATCAGGAATTAATTATTGTCATCACTTCACTTTCTTGTCTTTATTAGTGCTGTTTTTTCCTGGGCAGCACAAAAAACAGGGTGAAGTAGTGTGCTTCTGTGCTGGGTTCTGATGATCACAGAAACACAGAATGGTTTGGGTGGGAAAGGACCTTAAAGACCATCTAGTTCCAAAATTTCTGCCATGGGCAGGGACACCTTCCATAGGCCAGGTTGCTCCAAGCCTCATCCAGCCTGGCCTTGAAGACATCCAGGGATGGGGTTTAGCTGGTGTGATGACCAAAGCCACTCAGACTGGGAAATGGAGGCAGAGTTGCCAGCGCCTTGAAGAACAGAAGTTGAGAATGATATGCATATAGCATGGGGATTCTGCAGAGCAGCTAACATCAGCACTTGGTACAGACCCTGCATGTCTCGTGCAATGTGTATGAGTTTTCCTACAGACTTGGATTTCCAAAAAAAACATCTTAACTTCACCTCAAGGTACAGCTGAGATTGGAAATTTTCAGCCCACGAAGCTCTGAGGAAATCTCAGCACATGAAAAGAGGGAGAGTTTAAAATTGTGTGTTTGCAGTCTATCCTGATAATATAATTTTGGGTGACAGGCTAGCACTAGAACTATCATAAACGTGATTTATATATGACCCCTGCAGCTCTGTGCTTTTGTTTCTGCCCTGGTAGTAACTTCAGCCATGTGTGGTCTCTCTGCGATTGTACAAACCAGAGGGTTTAAGGTCTGCTTCTGTTTTTTGTCTTCCAGCCTCCAGACGAGTACCACCTAATCTGGATCACGTCTGATCTCATTTCATTTATCGTAATTGTAGGAGTTTTTATATTCCAGAAGTAAGTAGCGTTGTTACAGCTCGACTCTCAAGTATTTGTGGCGTGTGTTTTTGGTCAGAGCGTGGGGTGGAGATGGGAGAGGGGAGCACCGTGCTCCTCAGGCGCTTGGTTTGCAATAGCAGGGAAACTGTTTGTTAAAAATCCCTAAAGACTGCAAACAATAATTCCACTTCTGAGAAGTGACATTGAATTGGATGGAGTCGCTACTTTTTAAAGAAGAATGAGAGATCTTGGAATAGTAGTGATAGAAGCTTTGTTCTGCTCATAAATGTGTGTGGGAGAGAAACTGTAAATGCTTTAGGGAAATGGATGTTGAAAAAGATTAAAATGCTTTAAAGGAAGAAGAGATTCCACCATTATAGTCTCCAAAAAGAATATGTTACAGTTTTCTTAAATCAGTTTTGTTCCTGTTTGGATGAAAACATAGAAATACTATGATTTAACAAATTAAATCAGTTGCTTAGTTTGCATAAAGTCTCTCCTTTTTCCAAAGAAAAGGGAGAGCAGGGATTTGATGAGGGCATGGCAGAAGCCTCTCTGTTAGCCAGGATCCCTGAAAAAAATGTGGAGTGTAAAACTTAGGAGCAGAGCAAGTTGAGACATTGAAAAATCAGGAGGAGGAGCTACCCTCCTCTTGATTATACTGGGTGAAACCATGGTGTTCTCTGGGTGATGTGCCTTTTCTCCTAGGAGGCATTTTAGCTGTCAGTGGTGACAGTGTAATAACCCTCTCTGGGAAAAAACGTGAGCTCGGAGGGATGCGCTCCCTCCAGAGAGAAGCAGCAGCCTTCTGGGAGAACGTGTCATTCTGAAGCTGCACCCCCTCTTCCCCTGGCTCTGTATCTCATCTGCTTTGGCAGGCACAAACAACTGCTCTAGAGTCATCAAGAGACCTGCACTTTCCTTCCTTCTTGATATCCGAAATACCTTTGTGTTAGGAGCAGCAGTTTAATTTGCTTCAGCCTCATGAGCTAGAGATCATGCTGTTGCGTTGTCCCACATCATCTGCTTGCAGCAATCTCTTTCCTTCCCCTGGGTCCGTAATTACCCGGGTATATCTGCCATTTTACAGTAAGCTATTGCTCCTGCCAGCACCTGCTGTGGATTTGACATTGGGTCTACTTATAATTGTGTCTAAATTCATAAATCAGAGAATCGTTTAGGTTGGAAAAGACCTTTAAGCCCACACTGCTCATCCCACCACTGACCCATGTCCCTCATCACCTTGTCCACAGGGCTCTTAAACCCCTCCCAGGGTGGTCACTCCCCCCCTTCCCGGGCAGCCCCTTCCAATCCTGACAGCCCTTTCTGGGAAGGAATTTCCCTAATATCCCATCTAACCCGTCGGCACAACTTGAGGCCGTTTCCCTTGTCCCATCACTTCTCCCTTGGGAGAAGAGACCGACCCCCCTCTCTGCACCCCCTTTTCAGGGAATTGTATGGAACGATAAGGTCTCCCTGAGCCTCCTCTTCTCCAGGCTGAACCCCCCCAACTTCCCTCAGCCACTCCTCACAGGAACTGTGCTCCAGACCCTTCCCAGCTCCGTTCCCTTCTCTGGACGTGCTCCAGCCCCTCAAACATGACTTGAACAGTCCCATGGTGGTAGATCTGTGCCCAGTGGGTCCCCGGTCCCAGCATGGGGTAATGCAGTGAGCTGCAGATTCAAAACTCCCTTCTCAGACTACATTTCCCAACAGCTTATGAAACCACTGACCAAGGTGAGATTAAAATATTTGAGAAGTCTTATGACCTGAATTGTGGATGATTGAAGTTTTTCTCCAGAAGGACATTGTGGCTGTGCTCCCTGGACGCTTCCTCCACTCCCACAAATTTCTCAGTTGGTTTAATGAGAGGTGTTCCTGTTCTTTAGGCCCTGTATTTCTGTCAGACACAGAAATGCATGGAGTCGTCTGGAAGCAGGGACTGACCTCCCTGAAGAGCAAAATTTGAAGGCTGAGTTGATGGGCTATTTGCAGTCTTTTGCATAATCTCCCAAAGTCGGCTTTGGAACGCTTTCCTGCATCAGACCCAGGAGACCAGAGCTGAAGAAATTAAGCTGATTCAAACTGCTGAATGGCAGCTATAGGTCCCACAGCAGAGTGAAACGATGCATGCTTGGAGACAGGGAGGAGTTGCAGCTATGTGGGCCTTGCTGTATCTGCACTCTTCCTGCCTGTACAGATTGAATTTCTTCCAGTTTGGAAGAGACTTGATGGAGTTAGGACTAGAAGCAGGGTAAGGAAGGAAAGAATTATTGAGGGATTTCTCTTCCACCCTTGGTGTAAGAATGATGCAGGTGAGAAGAGCTGGAAACTGCCGCCAGCTTTCCCAAGGGTCCTGGAGCACTGAGCTCCTTGCCCAGTCTCTGACCTGACATGGAAAGAAGTTGCTCAGAGAGGTGTGACCATGTGGGGTCCATTGTATCAGGGCCAAATAGCTTCTTTTTGATCTCTCCCTTGGGATAACTCAACCCCAAGTCGATGGAAGAAAGAAGAACCTCTAGCACCAGAAGTTGGACTTTTTGCAGCAAAGGGCTTGCTCTTCCAAGGGCCTTGTGCAGGAGAGACTCATTTCCCTGCCATTCCAGTTTCTCCACCACATGAAAGAATTGGTAGCAGTGATGATATATTAAAAAAAAAAAAAAAAATTGCAGCAGAATTACCCAACTACTGCCTGCTGATGTGATTCAGCTCTGGGAAATGGGGTTTGGAATTTGCCCTTCAGTATCATGGTTGGTTTTTTGTTTGGTTTTGAGGTTTGGGTTTTTTTTCCCCTCCAAGGTCTTTTTGGGGCAAAACAGAGCTGCTTCCTTCATGCAAGGATGAGGGGGTGGGTGGGAACAGAGCCACCGCTTCGATGTGCTCGCCCTCTCTCCTGTGCATGGCTTGTCTCTCCTCCGTAGCTGTGGGTAGGGATTGCTCCTGCTGTTCTACTTCAGCCCTGGTGACAGGATCGTGGCAGCCTCTCCGGAGGAGAAAGACCAACTGTGATGACTTCTAACCGATCTTTTTTTGCCTCTTTGCCTTGTTTATTTTCTTACTGCTCTGACTGTTGTGCATGTTCCTCCTCCTTCTCTCTGCTGCATTCTGGCATCTCACAGCTATCACATGATCAGGTAATTCTGGTGCTTTCCTCCTCTTTCTCTTTTTCATACAACCTTCCTTTCTCTCTTTCTTTCTCCCTCTCTGCTATGGCTTTACTGCAGATGGACAGGGCAGGACGCAGCTTTTCATGATGCTTTCAAACATCTGGCTTCGCAGGGGGACCACAAGGGTCTGAACATTGCATAGTCCATGCCATGAGCACCACGGGAGCCTGACGCTGAAGCCGGTGGATGTTTTGAAGGCCATCTGACCTTCTGTTACAATGATCCAAGTCACTGCCCTTTAAAACAGCCCTATTCTGAAGTCCTGCTGCATATTGTAATAGGGAAATTCCCAGTGGATGTAATGCTTTCTCCATGGAAATGATCCCACTGCAAAAATATTCCCCCTTCTTCCTGCATTTGCCAGAGGTTTTTGACACCAACCTCTTCTAAATTGGCCAGTTCTAAAAAAAAATAAAGTAACCAGTTCAATTATGTAAAGTATTGTTTCTCCAGCCTTGGGGATGAATTAATAAGGCTAATATCTGGAAAGGTTTGGCTCATCAATTACTGCACTCAGAGCCTGGGATCTTTCAAGAGTCTCTTCCCAGTTACACCACTGTGAAACTGGAACTAGCATTGCACCCAGGAGGGGAATGTGTCTGGAATGCTGGATTTGAAGTGCCATCAATTGGAAACCCAGATTTATCCCTGTATTGGCTGTTTTTTCACCAGTCACTCTCATCCCCTTGGAGGGAAACGCCATCACTTTTCTGCAGTAAAGCCTTCACCGTGTCTGTACTCGGACCAAACTCTCCACGTATTACCTTCTCCATTCCTTCCGCTGTGTGCCACGGGGTTGTATTTCTGAGGACTGGCTACTCCCAGTCTATGCTTATCTACCCCTCTCCCTCCCCCCACCTTGGGGGTTGGCCACCTGCAAGTATTGCCTGCTCCACGAGGTACCTTGGACTTGCAGCGTTACATCCTCATGGCATCTCCCCAAAACAGGACCTGGCTATGGGGCTGGGCTGAACCCACCAACGGGTGCGGAGGGGTTGGGTGTTTTCCCCTTCCCCCCTTTGCTCCCTGGCTCATGAATAAGGAGAATACAGGCATGGAGGAGTTGGGCAGGCTTTAGGCAAGAGTGGTTGGAGGATGGGACTCTGGTTGCAGCTGGCTTGGCTCTTTGCTCGCTCCATCTTACCACCTCGGTACCAACAACCCTGTTTTCTCCCTGACCTGCCCCTAATCCCATTCCCTTTCCCTGCCATTTAGCATGTCCCCTCCAAACCAAGGGTCCCGTCGTGACCCTAACACGGTGTATGCTGTCTCTGTGTTGTTGTCCCAGTATTTTTTAGTCTGTTCCCACCCCGTGTCCGTCTGGTCTGCTTTGATGCCAACCTCCCAGAACAAGACCTACCTGCTGTTTGTCTGGCCTTTTTTCACGCTGCTGTCCTAAACGTGGCCGATCACAACAGAGTCGGAGGGGGTAGGAGAGGTGCTCTTTTTTATTTAACAAGCTTTCTGGAGACCCAAAGGCTACTGACCACAGCAGAAAGGTATTTTGTATGGTGTTGGAGTTGCATTGGGATTAAATGGGAGGCTCTTATAAAGAGGGTGTTTCAAAGTACCCCTGAAAAATGGGGTCACCCTCTCCTAGCTCATTCAATCAGAGCAATGCACCCCTGTGAGAGGAGTCATCAGCCCTTCGTACATATTTAACAACCCTGGATCTGACTGTAGCCACCCAGAGATGGGGAGCACAGAGCAGTGGTCATTCCTCTTGGCAGGAGGAGGAAAGTCCTTGGTCCCTGCACCCCTTTGAGGCTGGGCTGTCTGTGCCTCAAAGTAGCCCATGCCCTCCATGGGATGTCTAGGACCTGTGGGCAAGAGATCATCATGCCTTTTGGCCACGCAACCAACCCAGCCTGCTGCTGAAAATCCTGGTGTTGTGGGCAAATAAAAGGACTCATAGCAGTATGTTTTGGTCCTGATTATAGTTTGAGGGTCCTGTGCTGAGAGATCCTATGCACTTGTCAACCATATTGACCTTAGTGGGATCTGCCTGTTTGGGACACTAAGGGCAGAAGTGGTGGTCTTCCAAGTCAGAGTGGCTCAGCTTGGATGATGATAATAGAAGAATGATTTGTATTATTTTTACTTTTTTTTTTTTAAATACTTCAATATCTTGATCTCCTCGTACTTCCTCTGTGTTACTTCTTTTCATGGGTCTGTGAGTTGTGTCGTGTTGCCATTCCACCCCTCTTTTCTCTGTAGCAAAGCATCTGCCTTCATCCATAACCCGGTCAGAGCCTGATGGCACAGTGTCACCCGCTGGGATCTGGGAAGGGGATGGAAACTCCATGAAATCACGACCAGATAGATTGTCCTGAGACAATTGCAGAAGCTCTTTGGTGGATGTTGTTTAGTCAGGCTGATGCTATGGACCCAGGCTGGAGATATGTGGGGCTCCTCAAATCCTCTGTTCCCTGGGGTTGGGGAGGGGGTTAGATATTTAAGAGAAGGCGGTTCTTACTCTAAAATATACATACATATATATATACACGTTTTTAAAAATCACCTTCTCTTTTGTGAATGAGCCACTAGATGGTGCCAGAAGGCCATAAATCCCATAAACCACCCGTGAATCCCTGCTGTTTCTCCATCAAATAGCTTTGTAACATCCCTGGCTCCTGCAGGCAGAATGGGATTTACTTGAGAGCCTTCCCCTGTGTGCAGGAGGTAGGATGTATCCGTGGGGTGTAGGCTGTAAAAGCCTGGCCAAAACAGCATCCCTTTGCAGTGGGATCTTGGGTAAGGCTGCTTTGTCTGAGCCCACCAAGCCCTGTTTTCCCCTACAGCAGCAGCAGCTCGCCTTTCACTCCTAATGCCAGCAGCAGTGCATCTGAGGGTCTGCTATAGGGGTGCTCTCAGGCTGAAAAACAGCTTTAAATGTAAAATCCCCCTTGAAATTGCTGCCACTGCTTGTTGCTAACATCAGTAATTGTCTTTACATGCATTCAGTGATGAGAATAAACGTCTGGCTAATCTTAAATTGAGCCAAGTTCCCATCAACTTCATGTTTATGTGGTGGAAACTTTTAGTGAACACTGGGTTTCATCAAGGTTCAAAAAGTGTTAGGTTTGGGTAAAAGCATTTAAGACCTGGCATTTGTGGAGGGAAATGCTCTGGCAGAAATCATGTTCAAGGGAGCTGTATGTGACATCTTCCTGTGTGGGGATGGTGTCATTGCTGCATCTCAGGTCTGAGACCTTAATTTGTCTTCAAGATCTTTTGTCCCACAAGAGTGAACATGACAGAAAGTGAAGAAAACGTTATGATTTCTTTACTTGGCTTGGTCTCTTCTGTTCCTTTTTTTTAACCTTAAGACTTAAGATAGTCAAAATAGCCCTACCTCCTCAGGGCAGTTGGGTAGCTGATGTGATAGAGAGGGGTATCTGCAGTCCTTGGTGAAATTAGGATGTTCAGGGTGGTTAAAGATGACCTGCTTGTATGTCTGTACCCCTCTGAGATAACATGCTCATCTCAACATCCTCTTACCACGTGGGGTTGCGTAGGTGCAAGGGAGGAAAAGGCGTGAGGGTCTCTGGGACTTGCTCGTCTCCACACTGTTGGTGGCCACTTGTATTGAGGAAGTTCCCGCGGTTGAGGAGACCAGCCCCTGATATCTCACTCTTGTCTTGCAGGTGGCGCCTAGGAAGCATCAGGACCTACAACCCAGAGCAGATCATGCTCAGCGCTGCTGTCCGTCGGTCCAGCCGGGATGTCAAGATCATGAAGGAGAAGCTGATCTTCTCAGGTATGGATGTGGCAGGTTGGTGAGAGCCCTTTGCTCAATCCCTCACCTCTCACCCTGCTCTCTGCTGATGGAGGAGGTCATCTTGATACGGGTGTAGTCATCTGCTGGTGGGACAGGATGACTAGATTGACCATGCTGGACTAAACCACCTGTGGAATATGGCCATGGCTTATCCATCCCAAACTGGTGCACGTCTGAGCTCTGATTTGCTCAGAAACCCTGCATTTGGCTCCCCAAGTTATGCCATGCAGCTCTCATACTGTCCCACATCATCTCCACTCTCAATTGCCAACAGTGTGTCAAAAAATGATAAACCCCATTAAAATAATGGCATAGTGGTGATGAGTTTTTGGGGTAGACCTGGAGTTTGGTGGTACTATCGGTTGAGGCATTCATGAAGTCCTTGTGCTCTTCCCAGTGTTTGTGTTAGAAGACGCTGGCAACGTGGCCATCTCACCCCACCTCTCAAAAAGATCTAAAATGCTCACAAAGAAGGCAGCGTTTAGCTTTAAAAGATTAAAGTTGGTGCATGAAGCTGGAAAACTCACGTTTGAAGGAATGTGAATATACTCTCTCCTTGAGCTTTGTTCTGGGTTTTCTTTCTTTGCATTTAGGGGCTGGAGACCCCCTGCAGGGATCAGGGTTTATTGTACCGGGCACATACACAGCACAACTCTTGCTTCAAAGAGCTTATTGTGTGAAGTGCAGGCCTGATTCTGCCCTCCAGAGGTGGTGAAAATCAGGTGTAAATCCAAGGAACTCAGAGCTGGGAAAACAGTTGGTCACAGCAGAATTAAGCCTTCCCAGAATATTCTGGACATAAAACGCCCTAGATGTAAAATATCCTTAGAGGTAGGGGGTAGGTATTAAATTTTTGTGCCTCTGACAAATATTCTTGCTTAGGGTGGGTGTTTACAATTAGAAGTGGTGGCTGCAGGTTTTTCCCCAGTGAAACCAGTAACTACAGGAATCTGCCCTTTTTTGGGTAGAGATTAAGTTCAGGTATTTCACACTTTTTTCCCACAGATAACTTTTTCCCACATAGCATTATGTGTATGACGGGGTCCGGTTTTGCCTCTGATGGTGGCAGGAAGTGTCAGGACACTCCAGAGAAGTGTGGCCAGCAGGTCGAGGGAGGTGATTCTGCCCCTCTACTCGGCTCTGGTGAGCACCCACCTGGAGTGCTGCGTCCAGCTGTGGAGCCCTCAATATCAGAAGGATATTGACCACTTGGAGCGAGTCCAGAGGAGGCCACGAAGATGCTCAGAGGGCTGGAGCCCCTCTGCTATGATGAAAGGCTGCGAGAACTGAGCTTGTTCAGCCTGGAGAAGAGGAGGCTCCGAGGAGACCTCATTGCAGCTTTCCAGTATCTGAAGGGGGCCTACAAGGGTGCTGGGAGAGGACTTTTTACAAGAGCCTGTAGTGACAGGACAAGGGGTAATGGGGACAAATTGAAAACAGGGAGGTTTAGGTTAGATATCAGGAAGAAATTCTTCACGGAGAGGGGGGTGAGGCACTGGAACAGGTTGCCCGGAGATGTTGTGGATGCCCCATCCCTGGATGTCTTCAAGGCCAGGCTGGATGCGGCTTTGAGCAACCTGGTCTAGTGAAAGGTGTCCCTGCCCATGGCAGGGGGGTTGGAACTAGATGATCTTTAAGGTCCCTTCCAACCCTAACCATTCTGTGATTCTATGATTCTAGGATTGTCAGGCTCTGAAATTTAGAGGTGAGCTCCTATTTAAAGGCAGATCCTCTTCAGAACTGATTTTAAAGGAGTGCAGTGTTAGTAAACCCAGGATGAACTCCCAGTAGGATCACATGGATCCCATCTGCTAGAAATGCACAGCTTCTCAGTGCCTGAGTTTCCCCATCCTGGTACTTGCCTCCCTGTGACAATGGTCTCCCCTTCTCTGCCTTCTACAGAGATCAACAACGGCGTGGAGACCACGGACGAGCTGTCTCTCTGCTCTGAGAACGGCTATGCCAATGAGATGGTCACCCCCACGGATCATCGGGATGCCAAGCTGCGGATGAACTGAGGGGCTGCGGTCCTCTGAGCCCGGCGTGTGGCCGCCCCTGCGTTCGCTCCGGCAGCGAGAGCCGTGCTCTCCTGCTTGCTGAGGGATGGGAACCTTTGAGGAACTGCTGGTCAGGCAGAGACCCCTTCCCATACCCCATCACTAGCTGCTCCACCTCCCTGGTTGTGAGGCTAGGGGGCTTATTTTTGTAAATATGTAGAAAAATCTGATTATTTCTTTGTCTTTTTTTTTTGAGTGTAACTTTTCCAGGGCATGAGTGGAAATACCGTGTTCATTAAATCCTCGACCTTATGGCTGAAGTTATTTGAATCTTGATGTGACAGCCTGACTCCCTTCAGGGGGTTCTGGGAAAAACACGTTGGATGTGTCTCCCCTTTCTCCCCCTTGCCCTGCTCCACTCCTTCCCTTGGTGCAGCGACTGTGTAGCTGGACTCCGTATGTTGTGATGTTCTTGTGAAGTGTTGTTTTTGTTATGGTTTACTTTTTTTTTTCCTGTTTCTCCCACCTTCCCCCTTGCCTGGGCAATGAATTTTTAGCTCTAATGTACTAGGAGGCTGTTTGGAGGAGAGAAGCTTTCCTAGGAGAGGAGATAGCACTGCACTTCCCTGCTGAAGTTCAGAGCTAGGGAAGGGATTGCACTGGCTCAGTCCCTTGGGCACCTTTTCCCTTGTCCCATCCTCCTACCCCAAAGCCTGGATGCTCGGAGGGGAATGGCCTTCCTGAAATGTCCTGCCACAATCCTGAAGGTAAATCCTGAGCGTTGGCTGTAGATTGGCCTCTGCTGGCAGCAATGCTTTGATTTTGGTTTTTCTGTTCTTTTTCCTATCTCCTCCCAGAGTTTTGGGCTCTGTGGGGAACCGGGATGGCTTACCAAAAGCAGTGCCATGGGCACCATCACCGCTCAGATCTGGCTAAAGTGCCTGCCACTCCAAGTGGCATTTGCAGTCGCTCCTTTGCTTCCCTGCCCTTGCACCCATGTAGGAAGAGGAGGTGGTGGTGCAGTCTGAGCTTCCCCCTCTCTGGGTCACGGAGATGCTCGTTGGGGGAAGGAGTTGTAAATAGTTTGGAAAGTGAAGCAGCCCCGGATTGTAATTTATTCCTGCAAGGAGACCTTTTCTCCTTGCATTAAACACAGGATCTTTAAAGCTGCATGTCCATGTCCTCCAAAGGAGTGACGGTCTTGCAGCAGATGCTGAGAGACTCTTGGAAGGTAAGAGCTCTCATCAGCGTGTTTCCAATGCAAAAGGCTTTAAACCAAAATCCTAGACCACAGATTAAAAAAAAAAAAAAAAATAAAAAGCTCAGAAACCGAGTAGAGGGCAGTTGCATTTTATCCCTCCCTGAAATGGCTCACAGCCAGCCCAAGGGCAGTCGCAGCGCTCTGCTCTTGACCTTCAAGGCCTGTGGAGAGGAGCCTGTTTTGGGGTCACTGCTGCATGGAGCCAGTTCCCAAGGCAGCTGAAGCTGGCCAGAAGGCTGCCGGATCTGTGAATGGGTTTAGCTCAGTCCCCATGGTCTTCTGGTGTTGGGTTGCTCCCTTCCGTGCTGGATCTTTGGTCGACAGAACGTGAGAAATCCCATTGAGCGCGAGCTTCCTCGGAAGCTTGGTGCGCACTGCCTTGAAAGCGATGGCACCATCGAAGTTTTTTACTGTGGAGGGAATGGGAGCTGAGACTTAGTCTTTGAGTGCTGGCCAAGCTGGGTCGCAGAGCCCGTGAGTGCCTGGGAGGAGTCACCTTGCAGAGGACAAGGCAGTCTGGGAGATGCTGATGTGCATCACATTCGGTGTACAAAACAGACTTGAAAAAGCCAGAAGCAAGCCACGATAAAAACAGCCTCAAGCAGTTTGTTCTTGTTTTGGCAGCACTGAACTACCCATTTTTTTTTTTTAAGCTATACTCAAGTAGCATATTGAAACCCCAAAGTATAGGGCTTGGTGTGTAAGAACTGGAGGCAAAGTGGCCAACTAATCTACGTAAAATATCCCTACTTATCATTAAAATGTGAATTGTGATGCTTAACTAAGCACCTCCTAAGCAGTGAAAATCAGGACTTTAATTTGTTTGCATCTACCCTGGGTTTTTATGAATGTAAGTGGAATAAGACCCTGGTCCATGTTTCCTCTTACCTTCCCCAAATACTGTCCTTGTGTATGGTACTCTCTCAAGTCTGTGAAACACGGTGTGTTTTTTCTGCAGAATTGCAAGATTTTGGTGCATTTGAAGGCTTTTGAGAACAAAGTTGCTTCTCCCTTTACTGTGGTGCTGTATCGACACATTTCTGGTGGATTGTCATTGCCAAGTGAGAGATGTTGTTAAATCTCGGCATCTATTGATAATCACCTGCATGTTCTGTTTTTAACCTTGGAGATGACTTTATTGAAAGGTCAAGTGCTTAAAAGCTTGGAAGTGTTAAAAGCGATCCAACAAGGGTTATTTTCACAATTCACTTTTTTCTTTCTTCATTTTTATGATGAGACACAAACTTTATGCGTAATGCACTGACTGTTACCATTATCGTCCTGAATATTTGCTACCTTTTTTTTTTTAAAAGGATGATACTTTTTTGATGAAAATAGACCTAGACCAAAATAAACTCTGCAATGCTCTGTGAAATAAACTGTCAGTATTCCCCTGCCAGTCTGTGACATCGTTGTGTGTTCTGGGTTTGTTTGCATAATGATGATACCTCAATCTTCTCCCTGTGCTTCTGCTTTTTCATGCTTCTTGAGGGAGATAAAGGTCTTACCAGAGGGAGGTCTGGAGATCCATTCTTCTTGAGACTGGTACAGTTCTGTTGCATCTCTTCCTGATGACACTAAGCTGCAGGGTGCAGTTGACATGCCTGAGGGACAGGATGCTATCCAGAGGGATCTGGACAGGCCAGTATGAAACTCATGAGGTTCAACAAGGCCAAGTGCAAGGTCCTGCACATGGGTCAGGGCAATCCCAGCACAAGTACAGGCTGGGTGGAGAATGGATTGAGAGCAGCCCTGAGGAGAAGGACTTGGGGGTACTGGTAGATGAAAAGCTGAACATGAGCCGGCCGTGTGCGCTGGCAGCCTAGAAGGCCAATGATATCCTGGGCTGGATCCAGAGCAGCGTGGCCAGCAGGAAGAGGGAGGGGATTCTCCCCCTCTACTCAGCTCTCATGAGACCCCCCCCTGCAGTTCTGCATCCAGCTCTGGGGCCCCCAACAGCAGAAGGACACGGAGCTGTTGGAGCGAGTCCAGAGGAGGCCACAAAGATGCTCCGAGGGCTGGAGCCCCTCTGCCCTGGGGACAGGCTGGGGGAGTTGTGGGGTTCAGCCTGGAGAAGGGAAGGCTCCAGGGAGATGTTAGAGCACCTTCCAATAAAGGATCTTAGAAGAAAGATGGGGACAGACTTTTTAGCAGGGCCTGTAGTGATAGGACAAGGGGGTAGTGGTTTTAAATTTAAAGAGGGGAGATTCAGGCTAGATACCAGGAAAAAATTCTTCCTGGGGAGTGTGGGGAGGCACTGGGACAGGTTGCCCAGAAAGATGGTAGATGCCTCGTCCCTGGAAACATTCAAGTTTGGGCTGGACGGGGCTCTGAGCATCCTGTTCTAGTTGTCCCTGTTCAATGCAGGGGGTTAGAACTAGATGGCTTTTAAATGCCTCTTCCAACCCAAACCATTCCCTGACTCTATGGGTCTCTCTCATCCAGGTTTTATAAGACAGTAGCTGAAAAGCAGTCATGGGGGGAGGAGGTGACTGTGCAGAGCAGCGTTTTGAACAGTAACTGTAGAATAATTGTTCCGTGCTTGTGGCCACATGGGGACAACGATGCACCCGTAGAACCGTTCAGGCAGCAGTTTTAAACCAAACAAACGGGAAGCAATTTATTTTTATCACACATTATGCAAGTCATTGCCCCAGGGTTCTGTGAAGGCCAAAAACCATAAGCAGGTTCAGAGAAGTGGCTCATATGTCCATTAGCAATTATTAAACACAGCAGTTTGGATGTGAGATCCAGCTTGGGAAGTCCCTGAGCAGCTCTTTGCTAAATATGTTTTTAAGAGGAAAGGCTTGCTTGGTGCTTTCTCTATTTTTTTTTTTTTATTTTTTTTATTCCTTACCTCAGGTTCTGCTACCAGATGCAGACACAGGATGCTGTGGGTGAGAAGGGGATGTTTTCTGGGTCGCCCTGGGCTTGTTCTTTGTTAAGCCGCTGTTTTCTCCAGCCCCAGAATGGCTGCATTTAACTGATAGTTGAATGGGATTAAAGTAAATACAACACTATCTCACTGGTTGGTGATGGGTAGTCGGTACCGTGTCATGAATTTGATCGGCTCTGAGAGTACCATTTGAGTGTTAAAACTGCCTTAGGGGAAGGGGTAGAGCTCCTGATAGCTACAATATTGAATAATCCTGAACCGGGGGCTGTTGTTGCTGTACCCTAGGGAAAAAGACACTGAAAAGTTGAAAGGAGAGAAATGAGAGTCATGTAGGCTGTGTCTGTTATTCAAATAAAAGAGCTGAGGATTGGTTGCTGGCTGTAAGCCCAAATGGCTTGGGACAGCCAACATTGTGCTACTTAACTCTTTCTTCCTCTCTAAAACTGCCCTTATTTATAAGAGCTTAGTGGTACAGCTGGGATAGTTCTCGTGGTATCTGGGAACCTTTTCAGCCCTTTAAATCTGCCAGTAGAGTTGTAGTCCTGGTGTCTGGGGGGTGATGCTGATGTGACTGTGCCCTCAGCCCACACAGTTATCTGCCATAAGAAGGACCTTTTGTCCTAATACGATGCGGTGGCCAGGAACTTTCAAAGTTCAAACTGAGCATGAAAAGTCTGGCCACAATGTGAGCAGGAGGAGCAACGTGAGGCTGAAGGCTGGATCCTCCTGGGCTCTTGGTGCAAGCAACCTCTTCTTCGCTGATGCTCTAGACCAGGTTTCCAGTTCAGTGAGAGTATGGACCATGTCTGAAATAGGAAACTTAAGGGTTTTTTTTTTCTTTTAAGCCTTTTACATTTTCTTTCT